ATACATACATATATACACATACATACATATATATATATATATATATATATATATATAATATATATATATATATATATATGTGTGTGTGTGTGTGTGTGTGTGTGTGTGTGTGTGTGTGTGTGTGTGTGTGTGTGCGTGTGCGTGTGTGTGTGTGTGTGTGTGTGTGTGTGTGTGTGTGTGTGTGTGTGTGTGTGTGTGTGTGTGTGTGTGTGTGTGTGTGTGTGTGTGTGTGTGTGTGTGTGGTGTGTGTGTGTGTGCGTGTGTGTGTGTGTACATATATATATATATATATATATATATATATATATATATATATATATATGCTCCTAGTTATTTTTTTTCACTTCTTCTGAGTAGATAGGCATAGAATAAAAGAACAGACAGATACACATTCCAAAGCTCAAATACATATCAATCTGCGTGGGGTGAATTGCAGCTATGCCCTGCCTTAGTTCCATGCACCGGGCAAACACAAACGCACGCAAGGCAATATTTGACAATGCCACGAAACGGAAGCAAACACCTGCGCCTAATACTCCGAAGGCGAGTAGATGAATGCCTCGAAGACCAATGACGATCGGTCAATAAGGGGCGGAGTTCAGGAAGTAAACAGGACTCGGTTCTGTGAAGTCTCCAGTTCGCGGAGATTTCAAGCGGGGTTCTGAAGCGACGGAAGGTTTCAGTCGATCTGTCGGTCCAGAGTAGATGCCGGTTAATCCCTCGTGCCAGTGAGCGTCCTTCATAAAAAACAACAGTGAGTAATCCCGTGCTGTTGCGAAGGTTCGTATCCTCAGTGCAAACACAACGCGACTTGAAATAACTTGCCTGACAAACAAAGAATCGGATTGTACGCCCAGTCATGTATTTATACTAAGGGGTATCTAGCTCTCTGTCTTTCTCTCTTTATACATATATACCTATACAAATACACACACGCACGCACACGCACACACACACATACACACAAACACACACACACATGCACACACGCAAACACACACACAAACACACACACACACTCACACACACACACAAACACACACACACACACAAACAAACACACACACACACAGAAACATATAGATGTATAGCATCAATATTTGCATGGACTTACGGATACTGCTAAGTCTAATCCCTTTGTACATGAAACCAGATATTCTAGAACATTTGTGCCAGCATATCTAAGAAAAAATATTTTGCCGAGTCATCGAGGAACGTTGATGATGATCAGAAACGTTTCCCAAATAACCTCAAGCAATTCTTTGATTACAGAACCGTCTTTGAAATGAAGAGGAGGGGGGGGATGGCTTTATAAGGATAATGATAATAAGTATATAATTGTATGAAGCTATTATAGATTATGAAAATGATGATGATAATGGTATTTTTGCTTTCGTGATACTATTATATAAATTCTACAAATTCTACAAATGATAATACAAATTCTAATGATGATGATAGTATGAAGAGCGCTGGTGATAGTAGTAGTAATGATAATGATAACAGTATTAACAATAAAAACAAAAAGTATATTGATAATGATAGCAATAACAATAACATGACGATAACAACAATAATAGCAGTGATAACAACAATGACAATAATAGTACTGGCAATGATGATAACAATAACAGAAATAATAATGATAATGCAAACAATGGTGCTAATGACGATTCTGTTACTGATGATAATAGCAGTACTGATCATGATGCTGGTGATAATGATGATAATAAGATTAATAATGATAATAATGTTAAAACAATTATTATCATTATCATAAAATAATGAATATTAAAATAATGATAATGATAATGATTAAGATTAGTATTACCATTATTATTATTGTGAAATTATAACAATATTAATAGAAGTAATAATAATGGTGACACTGATGATTAATAATAACGATAATGACAATGATAATGAAATGATCATAATAACAATAATGAAGATAAATAAATATGATAACAACGATAAAAAAATAATTATTCCCATCACCAGTAAGAATAAGAATGCTACATTACCTACAACAACAATGCCACCTTCTCTTCAATGGCGCTGCAAGCATATCTCGTGCCTGCGAGGTTGAGCATACGTAAGGGGGGAGGGGGATGTGCTAGAGGGCACACGGAGACAATACGAAAAGGATGCTGGAAAAAAGGTGAAGGGTGGTAGGGGGGGAGGGGTAGGCATGGTGACCTGACATGACTCGAGGCTGAAGATGGAGGGGGGGGGGTAAGGAAGAAGATTGAGAAATAGGAGAAAGGAAAATGAAAAGGATATTGAACAAAGAGGGAGGGGGGAAGAGAGAAGGAGGAGGGGGGGACAGAAAGAAAACAGAAACAAAAGAAAAAAAATATATGATTAAATTGAACAAAGCGGGAGAGGAGAAGCGGGGGGGGGGCGAAAGAGGGAGGGAGAAGGAGGAAGGAGAGAAGTATTAAAAAAGGAAAAATCTTTTTTTTTTAAGTAAGCTAAGGTAGGTCATCTTCGCCGCATCCAGAATAACGAGTCCTTTGTGTCCACGTGACAGAAGGAAAAAATATTTCCTCGCAGCCTCGTCGGAGCAGCCATTGTCTCTCTCGGCGTTAGACTCTCATCGTAAATACAAAATACACAAAAAAATATATATATATAAAAAGTATCCTCATTTCTTCATTCCCTTTCAAGGCAGATGAGGAGAGAGAGAGGAGGCCTGGAGGGCTTGTCTGAGAGAAAGAAAAGAAATGAAAAGGAAACAGTAATGGAAATAGTCGGTGTAAAGGAGAGTTGCTTGGCCGAAGACGTGTGGCCGACGCCGGAGGAACGGACGCGGGGTTAAGATTTTTTAATTTTATGTGAAAGGTTTTATATTATCATTAGCGTTTGCATTGGTCTTGTTCTTGTTATCATCATAGTTAACATGATTATTACCGTTATTATCATGATCATTGTTATCATCATGGTTATCATTATTATTACCATTAAATTTAATCATGATTATTGTTATCATCATGGTTATAATTATTATTACCATTATTATCATGATTATCGTTATCATCATATTTATCATTATTATTACCATTACTATCATAATTAATATCATTATTATCATAATTATTATTATTATCATAACTGTTTTCATGAATTTTTATTATTACTGTTATCAGTATTTTCACATCATCGTCATTATCATCATTATCATTACCATTATCATTATTACTATCAGCATTATTACCATCATTGTCATTATCATCATTATTATTATCACTTGTGATTACTGTCATTATTATTGATATGATCATTACTATTTTTATCATTATCATTATCATTATTGCTGTTGTCGCTGTCAATATCATTATTACTATCATTATCATTATCATCGTCATATCAATAACACTGATAATAATCAAAAGAAATCAGCCATCTTTCCTAGTGACCTTCAAAGGCGCTTTTGTCGCAGAAGACGTGGCGAACACTTCATGGAAACTTGAATTACCTCCAGATTTCTTTCTTTCTTTAATAACTCCAGATATTTCTGCTTCGAATACACACACACACACACACACACACACATACACACACACACACACACACACACACACACACACACACACACACACACACACACACACACACACACACACACACACACACACAAGAAAATAAAAACGAAGATAAAAAGAAAACAAACAAACAATTATTATCCTCTTACAGCAGCACCACAACAGAATCTAACACCCGAAAATCAATCAAGAAATAAAAAATAAACATACACAATATATATATATGTGTGTGTGTGTGTGTGTGTGTGTGTGTGTGTGTCTGTGTCTGTGTGTGTGTGTGTGTGTGTGTGTGTGTGTGTGTGTGTGTGTGTGTGTGTGTGTGTGTGTGTATTATATATATATATATATATATATATATATATATATATATATATATATATATATATATATATATGTGTGTGTGTGTGTGTGTGTGTGTGTGTGTGTATATATATATATTGGAGGTTAATTCTTTGTGAATATAGGTATTATCTGTGTGTGTTTGTGTGGTGTGGTACCGTATGGATTTTCACAGAATATGTGAACGTGTACGTCTGTGACTGCCTGTTTATTTGCAGAACATCGCTATCTCGGGACTGCCTTTTAGCGAGAGAAAGCGAATGGAGTGATAAAATGTTTGAAAAAGAAAGAAAAAACGAATGGAGTGCTAAAATGAGAGAAAAAAAAGCGAATGGAGTAATAAAATGAGAGAAAAACGAAGAAGAGAGCGAATTACAGTAAACGAAAGTGCATGAGAGCGAGAAACAGGAAAAGAAAACGAGAAACGGAGAGCCACAGAGAAAAAGAAAATGGGAGAACGAGAGAGCGTTAAGTGAGAGAGAGATACTACCCTAATCTACATCCATCTATTTGGCGATTTAACACCGATTCGCGTCGACGAGGGAACGTGATTCGCGCTCACAGAAGCTTTCAGGAAGATACATCCATTATTCTCAGATGAACCCAATTACCTCGCGCCTCATTTGCATATCGCCAACGGTTCCCGCCCCTGTTGAGTCGTTATAGGGAGGCCTATGAGACATCTAAAATAATCTATGAATTTTGTGTTTTATTGTTAGATTTTATTTCTTTGTGTCTTGTATTCTTTTTACTGTGTTTTCTTTTGGTGATTGGTTTTGGTGTTTCTAGAATTTTCTCGTCTCTCATCTCCCTCTCATTCACTTGGTTGAATCTTTAAAGTGTCTTAATGTGAATGAGAGAAAGGAGGATTCTTATATATTCATATTCATTGTGTATAATCGCATATCCAAGGACACACACACACACACACACACACACACACACACACACACACACACACACACACCACACACACACACACACACACACACACACACACATACACTTTTTCGAAAATTTCTCTAAGATCCAAAAGTAAATCACAGAGATGTTCTGATTTCATTTTCAAACAAAGAAACCTTTATCTAGAACTTATAGGAAGCATTTCTTTCGATTATGACTTGTGAATATCCACCACGACCTTTTCATCACTGGAATCAGCGTCAACCTTCCCTCCTTCCCTTCTCACGGCAGACGGAAACGGCCCTTATCTACGACGCTGTGAGATTATTCGTCCAAGCCTTCAAGCTCTGGATAATTCGACGTTCGTACAAGTGGCTCCGCTTATTTGCGAGGGAGAAGAGGCCTGGATCCACGGCAATTCGCTCATCAATTACATGAAAATGGTACGTGGCTTCTTGGGTCGGCGTCCATTGGTTGAGGGGGACTGGTGTTTTGGAGTTGTTTTCGTGTATTAGATTCTGCTGTGGTGTTGTTAATTTTATTTATTTTTATCATTACTATTTCTGGGTTGCTTTTCGGGTGTTAGGTTCTGCTGTGTTGTTAATATTATTCATTTTTTTCTGGGTTGATTTTCGGGTGTTATATTCTGCTGTGGTTATGTTCATTTATTTTTATTTTTTCTGGGTTGATTTTCGGGTATTAGATTTTGCTGTGGTGTTGTTACGGTGAGTTTTTTTATTCCTAGGTTGATTTTTGAGTGTTAGGCTCTGTTGTGCTGTTATTTTTTTGTCTGTGTTGATTTTTGGTAGTTAGATTCTGTTGTGGTGTTGTCAAGATTTTTTTTTTTTTCTAGGTTAGGTTCTGTTATGGCATTAGTAAAAGGATGAAATTGGTGGCACTTTTTTGTTTGTTAGCATTTTAGCTTCGTTTTTATTTTCTTGTATGTGTGTGTGTGTGTCTTGCAAGTATAATTGCTATTAGATATTTATCTGGTAGATGGTTGCAATTATAATCATTAGCATATCATTTTTGGGAGTTGTATTGTTCTGCAATTATTATAATCAGATTTTAGTAAGATTTTGTCTAATTATAATTATACTTCTCGTTTTTGTTTTTCTTTTTTAGCTAGAAGATTGACATCGTCTTGCTATAATTATAATTACTGGAACTTTTTGTGGATTCAGTTGTTGTTTTGTTGCCTCTAGTATTGCTAGTAGATTTCGGTTGTTCAATTTCTTGTTGCTATTTTATAATCACAATAATTAGACAGAGACTTTAGGCTTTTGGATTGTGTTATTAGTTTAATGTATTTAAGATTGTTATAAGGTTTTAGATTTCGTGTTATCTCGTTTGAGTCATAATTATTTGTATATTCTTATTAATCTTATTTACATGTATATTTTTAGTCTATACGTTTTGGGTATTATGTTTGTAGATTTTTGGGTTGTTATATTCAGTTATTGCAATTGTAATTATTGGTTGATGTATTACTATCAGACTTTGCTGTTATCTTGTTAGAATCAAAAATTATGTGATTGTTTTTTTTTTATTGCTTGAATTTATTATTTTGTTGCAGTTATAATCATTGTAAACTGCTTTATTCACAACAAATATTTTTCATTACTTAGTTTATTCTTATTTCCTCATTCTCTCTCTCTCTCTCTCTCTCTCTCTCTCTCTCTCTCTCTCTCTCTCTCTCTCTCTCTCTCTCTCTCTCTCTCTCTCTCTCTCTCTCCGTCTCTCTCCGTCTCTCTCCGTCTCTCTCCGTCTCTCTCCGTCTCTCCTCCTTACTCCCTCCCTCCTGCATTCCCTTCCTCTTTCCCTCCTTCTCCCTCTCCCTCCCTCTATCTCTATGTCTCTTTCCCATTATCTTTATATCTATCTCTCATCACTATTTCTATCTCTCTCCCTTATTATCTCTATATCTATTTTTTCATCACTATCTCTATCTCTCTTCCCCATTATATCTATCTCCCTTTCCCATTATCTCTATCTCTATCTCTCTTTCCCATTATCTCTATCTATCTCTCTTTCCCATTATCTCTATCTCTTTTATCTATCTTTATCACGATTTACCCTTTACTAATTCGTTCTTCTCCACACAGGTTTACTTCACTGGACTCACAGGCTTCATAAAATTCGACGCCCTTGGATTTCGCACCGATTTTGCCCTTGATATCGTGGAACTAGGCATGCAAAATCTCACCAAGGCAAGTGACTGTGCTCGGTGGTTTAAGTGCAATTTTTGAGCGATAATCCAGGATGTTTTGTCAGATTTTTTTATTTTTCGTTTTTTTTTATTCGAGTTTGAATGCGTTTTAATTTTTTTTTTCTCGCGGTGTTTCATTTTTCTTGGTCTTTTGTTGTTGTTGTTTTTTTCTCTTTCGTTCTTTCATTCGATCGGTCGTTTTCATTCGTCTTTCGTGGAATTTCCTTCTTGGCTAATATTTAGGTATTCTTTTTTTCTCTCTCTCTCTTTATCTAGCTACGTATGTCTTAAAATCTTATGATTATATCTTCTTAGGCTCGTTATTAGTCATTTTTTTCTTTTTAATTCAACCGTTATTCTGTTATTTTCCATCTCCCATTTTCGCAATCTCTTCTCGTTTTTTATGTGATCATCGCGCCATTACGCTTCCCTCTGCTTATTTGTCTCCACTTCTGTTTAGAAGAAAAAGAAGATATATACTTAGATAGATTAGATATATGCCGTTATGACGTCCTTCCTTCCGTCCGTCTTGTAAATACAAGTAGTTTGGTAGAGTAAAAGAGAAAGAAAACAAAAATAGAAGAAAAAAATATATGAATCATCCCTGTCGCCTAACACGCTCTTTTATCTCTCTCTTTCCACTGTAGTTCGGACACTTCCTCAAAGTAAGAATCACCACTTAACATTTTAGTCGTACCTTTTGTGTTCGTTCATTACTCCCTCCCTTCCCTCCTTACCCCCCCCCCCTTGAACCAGCTACCCCCCCAACCCTGCCCTCCCACCCCTCCCCCTTTCCCTCTCCCACGCTTTTTATTTTTGAAGCAATTCCTTTGTTTTAATATCACTTTTTTTCTTTAGAAGACGCGAGTGCATAGAATTTATAGATTAGATATGGTTAAGGTTGTATATAATCTTTTTGTGATGATCTCCTCACCCACCCCTTATAATGATGAATAATTCACCATATTTGCACATTTGTCAGTTATCACTGGTATCTTGCCTTCACCTTTACACTGTAAATAAATCCTTCACAGTATTTCCCTTATGCACTAGGCCTACCAGTCCACAGTCTAAAGAAAGGATTTTAAATAATTGCTTCTCTTTTTCTTTATCACCTTCTAAGGTATTCTTGCTTTATAGCACTTTTTTCTTGCTTATCTTAGTTCAAAGGAAGGATGCTTTCCAATATCATTATATCGTCATATCAAGTTTCTAACCTGTTTGATGTTTATTGAAGTTTACCCTGCGAATCAGAAATACGTTTTCTCTCAACACAAATCTTCCACGTGAATCTACAAAACGAAAATGACTTTGGTAAACATTACTGGTATATTTGCTAAGGGAAAATCTTTATCGAGAGCTAATGAAATTAT